CTGAGCTCTCCATCTGTGCCCACAGGCAAGCGAAGATGGGGAGAGTGTGGGGCACTGCCCCTTCTGCCAGCGGCTCTTCATGGTGCTGCTGCTCAAAGGGGTGCCCTTCACCCTCACCACCGTGGATGTGAAGAGGTGAGTGGTAGTCTCTTCCCAAGGGGTGCCAGTCCCCAGGCCAGGGCCATGGGCAGGGTGGGTGGCTGGTAGGTCCCCAACAGTTTGGGAAGGGGTGTGTGACGTGCACTATGGCATGAATGGAGCTTGCTGTACCCCCCAGGTGCCCACTGCTGACTGGGGAGGTTGGTGCATTTCCCTAGGCCCACACAGAGGCAGGAGGCAGGAGCAGCCTAGGGGCACCACTTCACCCTTTTGCTTGGGACACACATGCACATATGAACACACACACACACACACACACATATGCATGGGGCCAAGCAGAGCCCTGCACATGCCAGGTATCAGCAGTTTTCCCATCTCCCGCAGGGCACTGGATGTGCTGAAGGACTTCGCGCCAGGTGCCCAGCTGCCTGTTCTGCTCTACAACGGCGAGCCCAAGACTGACACTGTGACCATCGAGGAGTTCCTGGAGGACCAGCTGGGCCCCCCCACGTCAGTGGCCAGCACTGCCCTGAGTGGACTAAGGGGCCAAAGAGGGGCAGGACAGGCTGAGAGAGGAGGGAGCTGACAGCATGTGAGCCTGTTGGCCCCCGCCACCTGCCTCAGCTATGCCCACCTCCCCACAGGTGCCCCAGTCTGGTCCCGCAGTACCGGGAGTCGAGCCTGGCCGGGAACGACATCTTCCACAAGTTCTCCACCTTCATCAAGAACCCGGTGCCTGCCCAGGACGAAGGTGAGGAGCAAGTGGGGAAGCACCCCATGCATCCTCTCAGGTGTCACCACCCCAAAACCTATCCTGGTCACACCAAGCGCCCCCAGTGCTCCCCACCTACCCGGGTCGGTGCCAGGTCTCTGTGGGAGGGCAAGGAGCAGGTGCCAGCCTGGGTAATGTGGGTGCTGCCTGGGCACAGGGCTGGGCTGGCACGGTGCCATAGCAGAGCAGGAGCCCCATGCCGTGACACAGCTGCCCTCCCCACAGCGCTGCAGCGGAGCCTGCTGAGGGCCCTGCTGAAGCTGGATGAGTACCTGTGTGCCCCTCTGGAGCACGAGCTGGCCCGGGACCCCAACCTCCGGGCCTCCCAGCGACGTTTCCTCGACGGAGACCACCTCACATTGGCCGACTGCAACCTGCTGCCCAAGCTCAACATTGTTCAGGTAAGCAGCGGCACTCCGGCACTCTGCCCTTCTCCTTTCCCTGGCATCTCCATTCCACTGGTCCCATGGTCTCACTTTCCTCTCGGTGCCTGCAGCAACCCCCTGCTCCTTTCACAAATGCTGTCAGCCCTGTGTTCTCTAGCATCCTTCTCCCCAGGAGCCCTGCCCAGCAAAGCGCCTTCCCAGAGATCACACTCCCCTCTACATCCCCTCCTAAGTGCCAGCCTTCAACTGTGCAGTGCTGGGGATGTCCCCTGGTCCCCTGCCACCCTTTCCAGCTGGTTCCTTCCTGGCAGCTGGGCCCGCCTTCGGACACAGCACCAGGCACAGCTCCCCCTGTTCCTGCCCGCAGATCGTGTGCCAGCACTACCGCCACTTTGGGATCCCCAAGGACCTGCGGGGCGTGTGGCGATACCTCAACAGTGCCAATGAAACCAAGGAGTTCAAATACACCTGCCCCAACAGCCAGGAGATTGTACAAGCCTATCGCTCCGTGGTCCGGGCACCACAGTGAGCTGGGTACGCACCCCAAAGGGTGCAAGGCCAGGGATGGGGTCAGGCAGGAGGTCAGTACCCACCCCATTCCTGCCAGCACACGCTTGAGAGAGCAGAGCATGAGCTGTGCCCCTGGCACCCAAATTCTCTCCCCTGGCACTCAGATGCTGGCAGTAATCTGTGGTGCACTGAGCCCCTCTTGTGCCATCCCCCCTCCCAGCCAGGACATGCTCTGTGGCCCCCCAGGCATCAGGACTGGGGGCAAGGGCGCAAAGCCATGGACACCACCAGTGCCAAAGCTGGGCCCTGCTGTGGGCAGGGGCAGGGCTGGAGAGGACAAGCTGCCCAGAGCAGAGGGTAGCCCTGCAGCCTCTTTTGTGGGCATGCCATGCCACCCTCTCATAAGGGTCCAAGGTCCAGCTGCTCCTGGGCAGCAGGCACTGCAGGATGCCCTCACACCTGCACTGGGTGAGGGGACCCAGCACAGTCATGGAGAGTCCTGGGAACAGAGCTGGCAGGGGATGGCAGAGGTAGTGGGCACAGGCCAGTTCCCAGCACCCTGGGTGAGGGGAGCAGAGGGTACCAACCCCCCGGAACCTGCAGTTAGGAAGCTCTCAGAAGCAGATTTGGGGGTTGTGAAGTTCGACAAGCCCAAGCCAAGCTTCAGAGCTCCTGGAAATCAATAAAGGCTTTGCAAGCAAGATGAGCATGAGTCTGGAGTGACCACACCAGCAGCTCTTCCTTACAGGGCTTCACACTGACCTCCACTCTCTCTCCCAGTGCAAGGCAGAGTGCATCCTCCAGCCCATTTACAAAAAGCTGGCAGGGAAGGGAACTTCTCTGAGCCCTGGACCTCCAGGTTCAGCTGAAACTGGCCCAAGACTTCCTAAGAAAGGGAGAGGCAGAATACACTGACACATCCGCAGAGACCGGCTGGCTAAAAACACCTTTTACTGGAAAGAAGATAAGCACAGACAATCTTTCTATTCTGCAGTGATAAAAAAGTTCCTTGCAAACCTCACCAATTCATGGTAAATGAGGTCAGGAGGTGGCCCCTGCCCCAGAAGAGCTGCTGGGGAGAAAGCAAGCACTGGTGTCTCCTCAAAGGCCCTGCCACCACCCCAGCAGAGGGTCAGCTGCCAGGTGTTGATGGCTCTGTTGCCTCCCTGGATGCGAGGGGCTCAGCAGGCCCCGGACACAGGGACACCCTCTCCTCCACTCACGCACATGCTGATAGGGCTCCACAGGGCTGTCATCGGGGCACAGGACAGCACCAGTCAGGAGTCCTCAAAATTCACTCCAGACGGTGCCTTCTTGCTGGGAGGAGATGGAGGGAGCATCAGAGCCCCAAGCCCATGCTCCAAGCAGAGCCCATGGGGTCCCCGTGCAGCCAGCACTGACCTTTTGAAACCAGGGTTAATGAGAGACTCCCCTGGGACCTTCCTTTTGGCTGGCAAAGCTGAGCCAGCAGTCCTGTTCTTCCTGGGGCTGGGGTCTGCCTCAGTCAAGGATAGGCAGGATGCAGATTGCAGGTCAGCCAGGTGTTCTGTCAGCCCTGCCACTCCCTCCAGGGCCAGGGTGAGCTTCCAGCAGCCCAGCCTGGTAGGGCCAGCAGCCATGGAGAGTGAGGAAGGGCCAAGCCTGGCCTCTTCTCCCAAAGGAGCTATGGACCTGCCCCGGCCCCCAGTCTAGAAGGACTGCCCTTCTTCTGAGGCTGGCGATGACCAGCCTGTGACCTGAGCATCCCAGATACCCCGAGAGCCACCACAGTGAGTCCTGCCCCTGCTCTGTCAGGAAGGGCACAGGAGAGCAGGTGCCTGACAGCAGCCACAGCCGAGGGCACTCAGTGTGTCCTGAAGAGCACATGAACACAGGACCAGCAGCCTCCGGGAAGGAGAAAACAAGACAGCAGGACCAGGGCAGGTGCCCCCGGCAGTGCCTACCTGGCAGGAAGAGCTGCTGGCTCCGGGCAGAGTTCTTCTGAGGGCTACAGGAAGTTGCCAGTGTCTCCACGGCTGCTAAGACAGGAGCCAGAGCCAAAGCTTGTGACAACACATCCCAATACAGCATTGCAGCATCCCAAGCCTCCCCAGCCAAACTGAGGCCTGTTCTCTCAGCACTCCCATCCAGACTGCTGCTGCTGCCCCAAAATCTTCCCAGACTCCTCAAATAGAGATGTCTGTAAGGTGACTCCCACATTCAGGATGCTGGTGTGGCGCCATGAAGACAGGACTGTTTCCAGAGACACCCCACTGTGTCCTCCGGGACCCGGCAGGGGGCTGTCCTCTGCCTGGGGGCTCTGGTCAAGCTGAAGGAACTGGCCAGCTGAACAGGGAAGTGACGGCAGCAGCTCTGCTGCTGGCCCACTGGGACTGGTGTGGAGAAACCACCTGAGGTGATTGATACTCGGGAGGCGCAACCCTCTCCCACTGAGAGGACAAGGCTGAGCTGGGGCATGTGGGGCACTTTGGGTCGAGGTGACGATCCCATGAAGGTGGCAGGAGATGCCGGCCCTCCCCCTGTCCTCACACCTTCCAAACCCACCACGGACCTTCCAGGCGCCTCTCCAAGGTCTCGATGCAGCCGGCCATGCCGAACACCAGCGCCTGCAGCTGGCGGCGCGCCTCGGCGGGGGGCAGCTGGGCGAGGGCGAGGGCCGGGCACCGCGGCTCCTCCGGCAGCCGCAGCGTGGCCGAACCCGGGCCCAGGCTCAGCTCAGCGGTGCCGCGCCCCAGGGCGGCCCTGCAGGGATAGGGGGCGAGAGAAGTGGGAAACACGACGAGCCCGGGGTGAGGGGAGCCCGGGATGAGGGAAGCCGAGGATAGGGAGTGTTGGGGCGGCAGCACCCACCTGAGCATCGCGCTGTGCTCCTCCGGCGGACACTGCTGCAGAGAGGGAGGAGGAGGAGAGCATGTCCGACACGGCCTAACCCGGGCCGAGTCCATCCCCGCCCCACCGGCACCTCGGGCCTCAGGCCCGAGCCCCACCGCCGACCCGGCCCCAGTACGTACGCAGCCAAACGCCGGACAGTCGCCGAGGTCCGCGGCCCAGACCTCCATCGCATCGGTCACACTGTGGGAGGCAGCGGCTCAGGCCGGGGCTGCTCGACCCCCGCCCTGCCCCGCTCCCGTTCCCGGCCCCCGCCCGCTCTCACCAGACGGCGCCTCCGGGCCGGCAGTAGCAGAGGAACCGGCCCGGCCCGGCTCGCAGCAAGTGGAAGGGCCCGGCCGGTTCCGCCATCGCCGCGCCGGAAGGGGCGGGTGCGAGCGGCGGGTCTGCCCGGGGCTGTGAGCGGGACGGGCAGCTCCGCCATGGTGAACTTGGGGCTGCGGCGGGTGGAGGATGATGTGGCTGCCAAGCACCCGGTGCGCCCTGCGGGGAACGGGCTGGGGAGCCCGGCTGTGCCGGTGGGGCCGGGGCTGAGGGGGGCGGGCAGAGCCCGGCTGTGCCGGTGGGGCCGGGGCTGAGGGGGGCGGGCAGGGCTCCAACCCCGGCGCTGACGCGTCCCCGCAGGCGCTGCAGCAGTACGCGGCCTGCCAGTCCCACGCCTTCATGAAGGGCATCGGCACCTTCCTGGCAGGTACAGCCCGGTCCAGCCCCCCTCCTCGGTTGTCCCCAGCCGCTCCCCAGGCCAGCGGGGCCGGCCCGGCTGTGTTCAGTAACCCCGTCCCCGGTCTCGGCAGGCAGCGGGGCCGCCTTCACCGTGCAAAAGCTGGCGCGGCAGAAGCTGCCGTACAGCTCGCAGTGGAGCCTGCTGCTGGCCGCGGGTGAGTGCCTGACCCGGCTGGTGCTGCGGACACACAGGTGTTTGCCCTTACTGTGAGGGGCTCTTCCCTAGCTCCGGTCACCTCCTGGCGCCCCGGCCCCGGGGGTTCAGGAGGCGTCTTGGGCAGCTGCAGCAGGTGCTGTCCCCACCAAGGTGCTGCTGGCACCCTCAGAAGCACCTCGGTCTCCCCAGCCGCAGGGTCCCTCGCGAGCTATGTGGTAACCAGAGCTGAGACACAGAAATGCTCCGACTTCTGGATTTACCTGGAGACAGGCAAGTCCCCACAGGAGCTCGGCGTGACTGGTGGGGTATCTCAGCCCTCAGGTACGTTCACAACTCCCTGTTGCTTTCCCTAGGCTTGTTGTGCCTGGTTCTATGCTGCTGCAGTAATGAGTTTGCTGTTCCTGTCTCATAATTAAACTGGTGACTGTGTAATTGCCAAAATCTCAGTGTAAGTCCCACACTGGCACTCCGCACCTGAGGGATGGGAGCAGGAGGATGTGTGGTGGCTGGAGCTCCCTATCTGATCTCAGTTCCCATGTCCCTCTGTGCTCTGGGCACAGCAGTACCGGAGCAGGCCTGGAGGCGTGGGCTGGGTGCACTTGCTGCTAACTGCTGCCCTGCCTACTTTGGGGATTCACACGAGCTAGCATGAAGGGCTCATCTGCTGGAGAAGGAAGGAGAGGGTAAGGGATGGAGAGAGCAAATGAGGTGTAGAGAGATGTGCTGCTCTGTAGAGTGGATAGAGCTGGAGGGGCACTAAGAGAGGCACTGGACAGTTCCCATGGCTGCTTGCTGCTCTCTCCCACGTGTACCTTGAGCTCCCAAAGCACCTTGAGGTCCCAAAGCTGGGCCTACCTGAAGAGGCTTTAAACACTTCACCAGGGCTCTGTGGTTCTCTGCCCACCCTTGGCAAACACACCAGGGTAGTTGGAGGTCCAGGGAGCTTGTACTTTCTGTTGCAGAAAACCTGCTCAGCACAGAGGACAGGGACAGCGCCACACTGCCGGTGAGGAGGAACAGGTATGGGGACGTGGTGGAGTAGCCAGCAAAGCACAGCACTCTGTACCTGTGTCCCACTTCAGCCCCTGCTGCTGCCCAGCCGGTCGTTGCCCATGCTGCCTGTGAGTCTGGTGGGCTTGGTGACTCTGTTTGGAAGCTCAGAGGACTTGATCCTGCAGCGAGAGTGTGGTGGAGGCACCACAGGGATCACTGCTGCCTGCCCCATGGCCTCTGAACATTCCACTGGGGGTACAATAAAAGTCAAGAACTGAAGGTGCTCATTGTGGATGAGGTAAAGGCCGGCAGTGGGACAGGCAGAGCAGGTGGTGAATGTCACCCCAAGGGAATGGTGACACTCACACTCCATCAGCACATGGATTGCTGCGAGCTGGCTCTAGACATGGATAGGTCTGGGCTAAGCTGTGAGGGCAGAGCTGTTGTTGTGTGCTTTCTGTACCCTGATCCCAGCCAGTCCCCATGTCCCTACCCCTGCAGCAGCAAGGGTATTCCCATCCACCTGAACAGGGCTGAGCTGAGCCCCATAGCTGGGTGTCCCTGGGGTATTCTTTGCCCCTGCAACAGGGGTGACCATGTGCCCAGGGCCCCTCTCTCTGGTGCTGGCACTGGCCAGGGCATGTCATCTGGCCAGTCCCAGATTGCCCATCCAGATCCATAACTAGTTGGCAAGGATATGGTACTGTCTCAAATCCCATGCACAGAGGGATAGGGAGCTGTGGTTTCTCGCTGCCCTCCATGCTCCTGTTAGCAGCACGAGCTCTGGTTTGCAGGTTTGCTCACTTCCCAGCACCCTTCCTTGCTCTGGCCAAGCTCCTGGAACACTGTGCTTGACTTAACCCACCCATTCTCAGCAACACTTTATTTTCAGCTGTTCTACTGGCTGCTGCCCATCTCTCTGCACAGGGCAAACCTGATTCCAGTTCAGATGATGTTCTGAACTCTCAAACCCAAGTTTCTTCCCCAGGCCCCTCATCTCTCTCACCCCATGGTGGAGTGAGGCTCAGGGTCTGTCTCCACATCTCACACGGAAGGAAGAGGCGCTTCTGGTCCCTGAAGCTGAAACACTGCTCTAAGAACCCAGGTACTTTCCAGAATCCAGGCTGCATTTCCTCTTTTAAGAAATTCAGATGCAGCTGAATCAGCTGGACATCCACCAAGAGCAGCCAGTTTACCTAGTTAGGACTGCATCTCCAGTGATGGGGAAACCTGAACTTGATGACTGTGGCTGGCTGGCACTCCTCCATCTCCAGGTGGGCCTTAGACTGGAGTGAGGTTTCCAGCCTGCCTCAGTCTATCTTGAGGGGTCTCCAGGCTGGTGCAAACAGAAATCAAGTCGTGATAGTGTCCCAGCACTGTTTGGGCTGCAAGGGATAAGGCCTTCGGGCAGACCCTGACCCTGGCTCTGCCAGGCTGATCTGCCTGTTGCTGATCAGGAGCCACCAAGCCATAGCAGTGGTTACAAAGCTTTATTTCAGTTTATAAAAAAACCCCAAACAAACAGACAAAATCAAACCTTCTGCATGTTTGCATGTCCCTGTTCTTAACTGGAAATGAAGAATGCATCCTCCCAGCTGCCCGGAATAGGGTGATGGCAGGCTCAAATCCCAGTGCTCCCACAGCGAGCCCATGGCCTCTGCGCTGTCACGGACATGCACCACAGAGCTGCAGGCACCGAGGGATGGAGTTGGCAAAGGCAAGTCTGGCATAGGAACCACAGGGATGGGGAAGGCACAACGTCTGGTTGCTGAAGTGGGACCTGGAAGATGCTGGCTCCCCACATCTGGTTGCTGAGAGCAGTGGAAGTCTAGGCCAAGATTTGGCCTTCAGGAAGGTCAGTGTGGTTTTGTGTGCAGGCCAGAAAGACAAGTGTGGGCTCTGGGTGCTGCCCAGAGCTCCCCAGGAGGCAGGGCTGATGCTCCAGGGACAGGCTAGCAAGGTCAGCTGTAAAGACTGGTATAAGTAATATTCCCCACCCACTCTCATACAAATGAAAATAAATCCTGCTGTCGCCTTGGCTTATTGGCCCAGTCCAACTCAGCTCTGGTGGCAGAAAGATGTCCCAGCTCTGAATATCCCATTCCCAAACCTGCTCCTGCGTCCATCCCTGAGTAGTGCTGGGAAACCCTTCCTCTTCTGTCCCTCCTTCCCTACAGCTTGAGGGCAAGGGGAGGGCAAAAGGGGACAGCTTTCCTTATGGGACAGTGTCAGGCCTTGGAGGAGGACATTGAGCACTTGCTGCATCCCAGGTGTTCAGACCATGGAGACTCCAGCAGGCAGGATGGTGCTGGGTCCTGCAGACACGGCCCACGCTGTCCCCACCGTCAGATTGCACTGGACTTGCTGCGCCGGAGCAGACAGACAGCAGTAACCAGGGTCGTCAGGGTGGTGACCACAAAGAGCAGGATGAGGATGACCCAGTAGTTGTACAACATGCTTTTGTGGGAGGAGGGCTTCTCTGCCGGGATCATGTTGGTGAGGTTCAGCATGTAGCCCAGGGCCCAGCCAATGGAGGTTTCTCCTGCCTGTGGAAACAGCATGGCATGGTCACCCAGCCAGCCAGCCAGCCCAGCTCTGTGGGCCTCAGGAGATCTTAGATGTCTTTTCTAACTTTAATGATTCCATGATTCTAAGATCAAGGAGTCCAACCACTAACCCAGCACTGCCAAGGCCACTACTAAACCATGTCCCCAAGTGCCACATCCACATGTCTTTTAAATCACTCCAGAGATAGTGACTATTTCTTCCCTGGGAAGCCTGTTCCAATGCCTTAACACCCTTTCTGTGAAGGGCTTTTCCCTAAAATCCAACCAAAACCTCCCCTAGTGCAACTTGAGGCTGTTTCCTCTTGTCGTGTCACTTGTTACCTGGGAGAAGATCCCAACCTGTACCTGACTCCACCCTCCTTTCAGGTAGCTCTTAAAAGGTCCCCTCCTGAGCCTCCTTTTCTCCAAGCTGAGCCCCCCGAGCTCCCTCAGCCAGTCCTCATTAGAGCTGGGCTCTAGCCTTTTCAGGGACCACCTCACTGTCAGACCAAGGGAGGACAAGGGTGTGGGGGAGCCCAGAACACCCTGAACTCTTGCTTGCCCATGGATCCAGTTAGCCCAGGAACAGAGCAGTGACCATCCTGTGCTTAAGTGGGCTCATCCCATGGGAGCAGAACCTCATCTGCTCTGTACAGTCCTGATCTTGTTGCCCATCCCATGGTGCGTGCAGCCAGAAGTGGGATCCTGCCCTGAGGTAAATTCCCAAAAAGCCTAAGCAAAGCATAGTTTGAGATGGCTGGTGTCTTGAGGGCCAAGGAAGGGCTGAAGGACCTCACCCCACCCTACAGCAAGCTCGGCTCATTTTTTCCCATCCCCCAGGAGATCCAACCAAAAACTGAGAGTTCTGTCCTGCCTCTGTTCCCCAAGATCTTCCTTCACTCTGCTAGGCTCTTTCTTGGTGTGGAATCATCTCCTGCCTAACTCCAAAGAGATCCCATGGAATGGAGATGTGCTTTGGTGCTACTCACCTTCTTCTGGAAGGCAATATTGGGGAAGGAGTGGTTGTTGAAGTTGTAGCCTCTGGTGGTGAGCAAATACACGAATGTGCTGACAGCACAGTAATCTGGCAGCCTCTTCTCCAGCTTGGGGGCTTTCTGGAGTAGCTGGGTGGGATGCACAGAGGGAAGAAGAGAGGTCAAGCCAGCAGCGGCCAGGCTCCCCTTTGCTGAAGCTCTGGGTGGCTGCATCTGTCAGGCCAAGGCTGCCCATACCCACCTGAGCCCTTCCTGGTCCCATGTGGGAGCTGTCACCTGCCTTACCCCTATTCCATGGGGACCAGGACACCCAGCCCCCTCCGAGGGCTGCTCTCAGAGCCTGGGTTATGCTCCCCACAGAGCAGTCCCCTCTTCCCTGCTGTGCCCAGGGAACCCACCTCACTCCAGCTGGTGGCACAGATGGTCTCTGCAGCGTCCTTCAGGTCACTGGGCAGGTGCACAGGTCTCTCCATCACGGTCCGGATGAAGTCCACTGTGTAGAAGAAGGCGGAGAAGGCCTGATGGAGGGAAGGGAGCAGCTGTGGGACAGGCTCTTTCTCTAACCTTGAACAGAGACTGACTGGTGTGGTGAGCACGAACGACCGCCCTTGCAGAGCTGGGGGCCTGGCTTTGCCACCATGTGATGCTGGGGGTGCTGGGGACAACCTACCCACCCAGCAGCTGGGTCACGACCCTGCTCCGGGCTGGGACTTACAATGAAGTTTCCTGAAACCTTCGGCTGGAAAACACCATCAAAGGAGCAGCGGGAGAAGGAGCAGGTGATGAAGTTGAAGAGCTTGCTGACGTGCAGAGCGCAGAGATTCCCATTCCCGGTGCCAACCAAGGTGATGGTGGTGTTGAGGACAAGGTTTGGCCTCTCCTTCTCCGTGCAGGGGCTGTCATAAATGCTGCTCAGTGACAGGCTCTTGTTGTAGCCCATGGGCCAGCAAGGATTGGGGACAGTTCCTTGGTAGCTCTCAGCCTGCCAGAGGAGGGACACACAGGGTGCACAAGCTGTACCATAGCTCCAGCTCCCTATGGAGCTTGAGCAGTGAGACACGGAGCAGTTGCCACATGTGTCTCAAGGTGGCTTAGGGTGTCTTGGCTCTAGTCAAGGGGTGCATCACCTTATGGAGATGGTGGATGGAAGCCCTGGGAACACAGGAGAGGATTTGGAGAAAAACTCAAGAGTTGGCTGGGAAACCCAACTGGCTCAGGGCTGGGGAACACCCCTGTGTAAACACCAGGGTGAGGGGGCAACTGTGGGGTTGTGACAGCCAGCATCCACATCAAGCACAGGCGGTACCTGGAGGAGCTTGGAGAACAGCCTCTTGAGGACCTGGTCCCTCCCATAGCAGAGGAAGCTGTGGGTGTACACTTTGTACACCTGGCCATACAGCTTCAGCATCACCTCGTTCTTGGGGTTTTCAATGGTGTCCTGGGTTTCAAAGGTGATCTGTGTGGAAGCACCCCCAAAGTCCATGGCCCCCAAGGTCTTCCTGTGAGGCTGGATCCATTCTCCAAGCCACCCACGCTGAGCCAGGAAGACAAGAGTGGGCATAAGGATATGATGAGCTGTGGGACAGCCCAGCCAGCACAGCCATCCTGCTGAGTGTCACTGTCCCCTGCCCACCTTGATGAAGTTCTCCAGGAGGTAGTTTGCAGTGACCCAGCCAAAGACCCCCTCCTCTTCCCCCGACAGGATCTTTGCCCCCCGGAAATCAAAGGGGTATGTCTT